GCATTATAATTCAGAATGCGGATATTAAAGCTGCCCTTCACAGCGTTTTAGCTTCTTTTACCTCAAACGTTTTGGTTTCGCGGCCCACAGCTTTACTGATTTGGTTCACATCAACATCGTCTCCAGCCAGGAATATAAATTGTCTTCTGTGGTGGCGGCACATCATTTAACCACCAGGTAACACGTTTTGGAGCGGTCGTGGCCATTTCACATGTTTCTGCCCAGCACCAAACAGCTGACAGACCCAGCTAGAGACTAGCATTTAGCAGCTAAAGAGAGAGATATTTTAGGAGTTAGGAGACAAAACACAGCTAATAGGAGAGTCAATATCCAACAGCCATTTCAGCTTTCAGCCCAGTCTCACAGAAATAACTACTAAGGCTACCACCACTAAAACTGTAGCGTCCAAACATTTAGCAGAGTGTAAACCTTAAGTTGACGCTTGTTTCTGGTCCTATATGCACATAGCTCACACCGACACCGCTCGTAGGTGAAAGCAAGACGTGTTTTATTGGTCCAATTCTCTCGTACAAGTTAGTGAAACGACTTCCTTCATAAAAGTACCGCCGATTACCTCGACACACTTTAAAGATCCACAGGTTAATCCACAAGTTGTTCCACAACATAATCCACATAGCACGCTCCATACGACACAGTCGGAAAACTGTGCGACTCCATTCTGCTCCAGATACTACTACCTGTCACAAAGTGTCCTTAAGGTGACGGAAGTCTGTCACAAACACAGGGCTTTCAACCAGTTGTTGTGAAGTGATGAGTTTGTGATGTTTCTCCTAAATCTAATATTCGTTTTCTTGCCTTAGTTTACGAACTTATTTTAAGCCCAACCTTGATTTTTCTTGTGTCAGTGTTGATAAGAACTGTGTCTCAGTAACTTGTTAACACAATCAGCAATCAGGTCCAACACCTTCCACTTTGTCATCACATACAGTATGCTGACTAATTTCTTGGAGAGACTTCTTTGTTGGATAAACAATAAAAAGTACCCGTCTCCCATTCCAGTTTGACAAAGAATGGGGTGTGAGTGGCGAATGTGAATCCCATCCGCGTCCTCCATATCTGTGCGACTGCTTCCTTAATCCTCATAATCTGCTCTCACTGTACTATTGAGCAGTACACATTAACACACACAGCTCTGCACACACACTGATTTCTTAAAAGTGATGACATGTGACGGACATCTGTCACTCTTTCAACCTCTGAGCTTCACTTCTCTTCATGTGTTATGCCATACAGGAACCCAGCAGATTTTCTACGCTATGATTTTTAACACAACTAGTAAATGGACGGCATTTTATGTGGCGCTGTTCTAGTTTATCGGCCACTTGAAGTGCATACAACACATGCCGACAGTCACTTATTCACACACACTCTCATACACTGATGACTGCCAATATATGGTGCGGTTAGGTGTTCAGGGTGACATAGTTCGACAGCGTAACAGGTAATATTGTAGCGAGTGACGGAGAGCGAGATGTACCCAGCATGCCGTTCGATGGTATCACAGTCGATATTGTAGCAAGCGATGGAGAGCGAGCTGTACCCAGCATGCATTTAGCAGTGTTAACAGGGATCCTCTCTTAATACTCTACACAGTGTGTACATAATGCCTTGGGTCTTCAGCAAACCAGAAGTGTGAAGTCGATCAGGTGAACAGTTGTCGAGAAGCCGGGGTTCCAATAACCGATCCTCAAATTTAAGGAGGACCCTGCTCTACCACTGGGCCACAGCCGCCCACAGGAGAGGCTTGTAGAGGCCGATAGTCTGCTCAGTGACGATCTCATTTGTTTGCAATAGTTATACGTATAGCATGTTTCATATTTTATGTGGGTTATGATTTATTGATGATGAAAAATGCTGCAAGTAGCATGTCAAGGACACTATATATTATTCATACGTAATGTTTATGCAGACGACCTTACAGTAAATACTGGTAAATGCCCTCTGACTTAACTGTTGTCAGTCAGTGAAACAAGCTGAAGACTCAACATTGACATTGTATTTAATTAAGTTGCCACGGTGAATGTGTTTTTCTTCATAATGTGTTGAACCGTGACTTTCTCTGCAAAGACTGTCAACTCATCACTGTTTCCCAGTGCAATGAAGGGAAATTTCAGTATTTTTCAGCTGGGATCCTATTTTCCCATGTTTTTGTGTCGAAGTGAGTGAGTAACAAGAGCCACTAAAAGGGCTTGTTTTTTCCACTAACAGGTTGCAAATAAAAGTGTCCGACGACATTATGGGAAGGACCCTACAGCGAAATGAAAGGTTTTTCTTTACATTTCTCTTGATCCCGTCTGTTTGTTCTCGTGTCAAAGTATCAAGGAGAAGTCATGTCGTGAAATCTGAATGCCCTCATGCAGCAACAGGTCCCACTCATCACAGCACCTAACGGAACGCCACCAGTCTCATGGGCTTCGTTGCCTTGCACCTGCCTCCGCCTCTCCTCTGCGCTCTTCAATATTGTAAAAAAATATGGGCGCCCATCGAATTCAAAGACCTCACCCACACTGTTGCAATTATCTGAATATTCAGCCACGACATTGAAAATCTTTTAGATGAAACTAAGCTACGCTTCCTCTACTCCGACACAACAAACGTTATGTCAAATACTGTTCCCCGGTCTCAGTACTGGACCAAAAAACATGGGAAAATAAGGTCCAAGTTGAAAAATACCCTTTAAGTGCATTTCCTAGCATCAATTAGGGTAAAACCTAACACCTAAAACCAACCGTCTCCATTCAAGCCCCACTTTCTGATTCATACGGATGGGACGGTTGTATTTTTACCATAAAAACCTCGCCTAGCGCAGCTGTAATTTGATGGCTTAAAATAAAATCTTGGATCAGTCCTTTGAAGCCTTTCCTGTGTCCACTTTGGCAAAGCCGTGGCTGTAAATAATGTAGTTCGTGGCAGCAGAGCCCGCCGCGTCCCCATTTACTGGCCGAACGTTTGATAGATGGCGGTTTTCTCAGACGAAAAGCGCCGGATCTCACTTCATCTGTCTTTCCTCCGCTCTCTGATTGTTGTCCTCCCGCTCTCATGTCATAGCTCACTACTGCCTGCTCCTCTCTCGCTTTTCAATCGCTCTGCACCTACGTCTCTTTTCTTCTTTTTCTTTCGTCTCTTTCTCCTATTTTTGGTCCCACATGCATCAATTATTCACGTCTTTCTATGGACTTTTTTGACTAGAGAGCTATCAACAAGAGCCTCCGGGGTCATCATATCACACCTGAGCATCATCCTGTGACACGTACAGCATCACATCAGGATGCACACACACACACACACACACACATACTACAGATGCACAAAAGGGAGATAGTGTACACACTCAGAGACGCAGTGGAAGGTAGACAGGTTCAAAAGTCACGTGTTTTCCCCTTGTGGTGTAAAACACAAGAGAACCATAAATATGTCATGTGTATAAGTTCCACATACATCTTTTAGCACATGATGCAACACACAACCTTCTGATCTGGAGTCAGACACGCCACCATTGCGCCACAAGGGCCTTAGCACACTAATTTACAGTTGATGGGGGCATATAGGGAGTTATTGATAGAGAAATGATTCGTGTCATAAGTATACAACAGCCACAGAATACTGAGGTACTAATCTGTAATGAAGAGTTGACCTAAGTTGTTATATTTTCTTACCTTGATAAGTCAAACTGTTCCTGTGCCTTACATAGCCGTAGAAATTAAGGCATCCAATGGCTGCTGCCAGTAGGGAACACATTCCTCCTTCAGTTGAATTCATAATACTGTGTCACCTGCAATACATTAACCTGACACAGGAAGCCCTTTTTGGAATTAAAAAAAATAATTCTTGGCAGGTGATCGGATGAACCATCTGTCAATTAAACGCTTGAGTTTTCAAATGGGAACTGCAAACAAGAGCCCAGTGGTTGTCAACACGTTTACCACAGCTTGCAGACGTACTGTTTCGGTTTCAGGTGTGACCGTGTTTACGGGTGACTCTCGGCCTAATGTGTGCGTGGTTGCTCGTAGTGAAGGCAGCTGTTAAAAACAGCATCAAAACCTCAAAACCGAAACACTCGTTGCTCTCAAACGAAATTCTGTCAAACTTGTTGTTGGAACATTGATTCTGACAACCGAACACACAACAACCACACAACAATCTGTTTTAATTCAATGTTTAAAGTTTGTTAGATCGTCTGGATGGCTGGGGGCAAAGTGTCGCTTCCGTTGCCAACATGCTCGCGCATACTTTTGATGATGTCGGCTGTATAAGGGTCTATACATCTCCGGTTCTGATAGAACTGACGCTAACCTCTTTAGGAGCCGCCATTGTTGTTTTGAACAAACGTACATTAGCTCTGGCATAGCCTTTAGCTATAGTGGCTTTGTACCTACACTATATTGCTATACCAATAACTTCTGCTTGGTTTTCAGTCTGCTTTCCAACCAGTTATACTCTCTATTCAAACTTTATACAGTCTGGGCAGCTACAAGCGTTCGATTAGCCTGGTGGCTGAGCTGGGGGGACACAAGCTAACCCCCTAGTGTGGGCTCCATCTGAGAAATCCAGTAGCGAGCATTGATCAGTCTGAATGGTTTCCCGGCAAAAGTCTAAGTGACACCTTCGACCGTCTCCAATCGATGCGCTGCAACTGCAGAGTGAGAGGGAAACCTGCTGAGAGGGTCAGAGAGAGGGGAGAGAGCAGCGACCAGGAATACCAGGACTTAAGGCTGCATGAGTTACAGCTCAGCACAGCTCAGCGAATGAGTTACTGTTATGTAAGAGCTCAAGTCAGCCCAGCGGGAGATCAGAGAGGGAGAGAAAGAGAGAGAGAGAGCAACAGACCGAGAGAGCAGCGAGAGCACGAGCTGAGGGACAGAGAGGAGAGGGCTGGAGAGGAAACAGCAGCATGTGAGAGCAGATTACAGCTGGATGTACCGTATACACACACATGCATACATGCACACTCCTTTACTTCCTCTCCTTCTCTGTCATAGCTTCTCGCAGCACGGCAGCATCATGAGTGGGAGCGCAGAGGGGGTTTTCCTCTCTCCGTCAAGGGACTGAGGAGGACAGAAAAGAAGATAAAAGAAGAAGAAGAAGGGGAAAGGAGTGGGAAAAACTAGAAGGGGGAGACAGGAAAAAACAGAGAATGCTGTGAATCCCTCCTCCTTCCTTCCTCTTGCAGAGCTCTTCTCCTTCTTCATCACCTGACCCCATGTCTCCCGAAGTGGGACCCGCCGCTCGGAGCACAGGCGGCCACCTCTGGATGCTCCTGTGCCCGCTGCTCTGTGCTCTGGTCCTGGCTGGGGGCTCCACGCTGAGCTCAGAGGACTCGCAGAGCACCGCTGGCACGTCGGCTCCGCCGGAGGACTGGACCAGCACGGAGATCCGGCTGCAGCCAGACCTGCAGACAGAGACGGAGGCACAGACGGAGGCTCTGCCAACTCAGAGCACCACCAGCAACTATACAGGTTAGTCAGTCCGACAGTCCATTTCTTTCTTTTTTTACCCCTGTAATCTTTCTCATCAGTGAGTCGAGGTTTCATGATGATTTCTACTGGAAAAAGTTAAATTCACATCGAAAGAATTCATTTGTGCAGTCAGACCTAAACTTACCAATGTTTGGGCCAAAATTCCCTTTTAAATTGATGTAGATATGTTCTTTACGCCGGATAAAAGACGAAACCTTTTGCTACCTTTTAATGGAATAAAGTATAATCTTAAAGCTCATTCATTAGTTTTAGCTTCTTAAGTGTGAATAGTAGCAGGTTTTCTTCGCCTTCGGTGATTGTTAACTGAATGTGTTTTGATTTTGGACCAAAAACACTTCTTCAAATGGGTCAACTTGGGCACTGGGAAATTACCATCAACATTTTTTTTTTATTCAAGCCATTAATCAAAAATATTGGCAACTTTTGCAAAAGTTCTCATCATGGTCACAGACTACATTTTGATTGCCAATACCAAAAATGCTGACTCCATACAGCATATAGATTTAGATGTTTACATACTTTATAGTTGACCCTCTAACATCACAGAACCATTGGCATTTAGAAAATTTAGATTTACAGAAACTAGACGAGTCTGTAAAAGTTCTTGAAACTGTAGCTGTTGATTTTGGTTCTCCGTCTCCTAACCTGAACCCAAGTATCCCCTGTGATACTTAGCCTCAAACTAAACTAAACCTTAACTCCAGAAAGCAATGTGCTCAATCCACTGTGGACACCATCATCAGGCTTCTGAGACGTCTTTTGGCCAAAATCACATTCTATCCACAAACATGAAAGTAACTGAAGTGCTTTGAATTTCAGCATTTGCATGTACTCGGTCAAAGCTGGTTTGCAAGTTTTTTTTTTGCATGAGCTCCGATCCAATTGGATGCCTTAATGTGTGTGTGTGTGTGTGTGTGTGTGTGTGTGTGTGTGTGTGTGTGTTTGGAGTGTTTGTACATGAATGTGTGTGTTCCCTTGAACATTAATGAGAGTGGGAAGACTTTTGTAAAGTATTTGTAATGTGTTATTATGTCAATATGTCGATACAAGAATCAAAATACGACAAACTTCAGTGTTTCTGCATGTGTGTGCGAATGTCCACTTTTGTGTGTTTTAGTGTGTGTGTGTTTGCGTGTGTGTGTGTGTGTGTGTGTGTGTGTGTGTGTGTGTGGTGGCAGGTGATGCAGTTAAAGACAGTTCGTTACGTCCAGGCTGGAGCTGCTCCGCCTGAAGAGAAAGCTGAAGCGCCGCTCGCATGACTTCACCTCCACTGGAGCATAAGCCGCCTTTCTCTTCTCCTCCGCTCCCTCTCTCCCTCTCTCTCTCTCTCTCTCTCTCTCTCACTCTACCCCGTTTATTTTCCCCAACCGCTGTCTCATCTGTTTCTCTTTTTTTCCACTAATTGCTCTATCGCCTCGTTTCTTCCGTCACTTTCTCTCGTTTCTTCTCCTCTCTGAGTGTCTGTCGCTTCGTCTTTTATGTCCTTCCACTCTCACTCTCTCTCTCTCTCTCTCTCTCTCTCTCTCTCTCTCCACCATTTATTATTATGTCCCTCGGCCCGCCCCTTCTCTCACACAGAGCCCATAACCTCACGTGCATGCATAAATAGCACACAGCAGATGATAAAATGCAAACCTCACGTGCCTAATACACACTACACATAACACACGCACACGCATACACACACACACACACACACACACACATTGGAAATGGACGCACTCGGCCCAAACGGCACCAATCTTCTTAAAGGTTTAGAGACTAAACAACATAGTTGCTTGTTTCATAACGGCAGCTCTGTGTCCACCAGAGCAGGAATAAGCACTTTATACTTTAATAACACGCACACACACACACACACACACACACACATACCGGTGATCAGCTGGATTGCCACATCGCACCACATGCATGAATTACACCAGACCGGAGCTCTTGTGTGCGGGAAAAATCCTGTAGGTGTGATTAACTTCAACGTTTTCAAAACCAAAGAGTGTGTGTGTGTGTGTGTGTGTGTGTGCGTGTGTGTGTGTGTGTGTGTGTGTGTGTGTGTGACTTTATAAACAGATTATCCCCAACGGCATTAACAGATAAAAGCAGTGCTCTTCATTTTGTTTACTTCTTTCCACCATATTTCTAGCCTCAGGTCTTACATCACAGCGGCAATGCTGCATTTATGTTTGGTTTAGTTTCAGCCATTTGAGAGTAAAACCAGCCTCAGTTGTCATTTACAGGACAAAAATAAATCCAGTTAAATATAGGAGGCGTTTGTACAGTCAGAGCTTTTATAAAACCAAAAGCGCTGAATGGAGACATATCTCTCCAGGAAGAGTTTACATGATATTGGGTTATAGTGATGCTGTCCTGTAAGTTGAGTACGTTGAGTTAATATAGAGAGGCTTTAAAACCTAGAAAGGCTACATCTATTGTGTTATGTTGATTTGTATTCATACATAGCAGTTCACAAGGCTTGTTCAATGCCATATCACAGAAAGGTCAGAGGTCAACCCTTTTCCCACCAAAATTAGTATGCATATGTGGGGTTTTTTAACTCGGGAAAACCTGCTAAAAATAGTCAAATCGTTACAATGGTTACTTTTCACTTATGTATCTGTTCAGTCTCTCTTATTTCAACCCAGACACTCAAACCAGAGTCTGTGATTGCTGGAACAATGGAAAGACTTTACTTTGTTTCTGTCAAATTTGAAATGAAGTGTGTTTTGTGGCGATCAGGGAGGTAAAATCACTATTGCCTGACTGGAGTCTGGTGGCTTTGAGGAGAGCATATTATTAAATATTTTTTACATTAATAAATTATAAAAATTGTCCAATACTCATTATATATTCCCTTCAACGCACATAACATAGCCTTGCACAGGAAAAGGGGTGAAAATGTG